CAACAAATTCGAGAGTCTAATAAGGTTTTTATTTTTAATATATTTATTGTATATATAAGTAAATAATAAAATTAGTGTTTAATATATTTACAATTTTGCCTAACTTAATTGAGTTTATTGAGACAAACTCAAATGATACAATTAAATTATGAACTGTATTAAAAGGTAGAAAATAAAATTCAATCGAATTCGAATCAAATTTCAAACTTTAAAATTTTGAATCTATCCAAATTAAACCTGACAATCCATCAAACTCAATTCGACTAAAATTACATCCTATAATACTTATAGTCATATTGCTATGCTTCTTTATTTTCCTTCTTGTGTCCAACAGATTATCGTATGTGAATATATACTCCAAATATAAGAAAAAAAATGAATATTACAAAAACATTAAAAATATTCTTTAATACCAACTGAAAAAAAAAATTACATCTTTTAATAATCATAAATCACACCGTGTAACACTCGTATTTTTTCTTAATATATAATACACAAAGACTTAAATAAATGGACAGTTTTCTATTTTTGTGGATAAGTTCAACTTGCTAATTAGAATCATTATAACACTTGTTTTTTCCAGTGAAAATATATGAATCACATTTGGTAGAGCCATCATTGCCCCATGAACCATTGGAATCCATGTATGGTCGTTATCCTTCCCATCTGCTTTTTCAAGCTTTGTTTTTATATATATATATATATATATATATATATTTGGCACTTGCTAATTAAAATTCAAAGTAATTTCTTTTTTTGGGTACAAGCACGAGGGAAGAAAGAGAAAGAGTGTGGGGTTGTAAACCTGGTTCACCCCTTCTTCCATCATAAGAGATACACGATAACCACTAAACCAAAAACTTCAAGAATTTTAATTAAAATTCAAAAGTTTAAAAAATTGAAATAAACCAAAAGTTACCATATTAACATGGAATATGTAATAGGAATGCATATTTAGTTCTTTTTTTTTTTTTTTTGGATAGGATGTATTTACTAATTCATTAAGTAAACTATATTAATTACTTTTGGAAACATTTTTACAATAAATTCTAATGAGATAAACCAAAGTTAGGCCAAAGAAATTCGCTTTCCAGTTTAAGGACTACAGATAACCAATCAATGGCAGTTCATGAAGCAAATAGGTTTAGCTCAAAACACTTCTACTTGGCCGTGGAGCATTCAGGGTATGGTTTCCATCTCAAATAGACATGTCAAATGTGAATCATTCACACATACAAAGAAGAGAACAAACTAATTTAAAAATGGCATAACTTACCGCTTTTGAGTCGACTTCAAGATGCAAGTATCAGCCTACGCAGAAGATTTGGGCATCTTATACTGCTTCTTGACAAATTGGGATGCCTCTGAATCTGCACTGTGGCACAATATTCTCAGTAAAGTCTGGTTATAAGCACCTAGTCTGCCACTTGAAGATCTCAAGTCCTCAACCAATTCTCGAGTCTACAAACGATTATGGCCTAAAAAAAGATTAATATCGTATCTTCCTGTAGTATAAACATGGAAAAGTATTTGTTGGTGGAACTAATAATTAGTCAATGTAAAAATTAATAATTTGATTAAAAATTTTCAATCGTTTTATTTATATTTTAAAAATCAATATGGATTTTAAAGTTATAATTTCATTTTAATTATCAAATAACTTGATTCAAAGATATTAAATAAAATATTATAAGAATCAAAACTCCATATAAGAATCTTATATAAAATAAATTCAATTCTAACTTTTTTACTTCATTATATCTCAATTTAGCTTACAAAATAAAGAATATATTTATCAAATAATAAATAAAACATATATATTTTTATCTATTGTTCAAAATTTCTTATCAAACACATATTTAAAAAATGACATATTTACATATTTTTAATGTTTTCACTTTTTCCCCTTAAATTTTTTAATCCATTAATTAAATCTAACATCAATTTTTTTTGGTACTAAAAAATCTATGATGAAGAAAGATTTTTCATTTAAAATAAGAACAGATCACATAAACGTCAAAGATAACTTATATTGAATTTACGGGGAATAACATTAGGATTAGTTACCTAGAATTTTGTTAGCTCAACACTCAATAAATCTGTAATGGTAAGGTTGCACTTTGTTTTGGCTTTTCATTAGCAACAACTACTTATGTATCTTTTTGCATTTGTTGAAATTGATAATAATAATATTATATGTCATTAAATCAATTATAAATCATATTATTGTTATAATTTATGAAATTCTAGCCAATATTTTTATAAAATTATACGTCATACAATTCATACTATATATTTTTGTATCTAGTTGCTTTTGTTGTTTTTATTGATATCACACAATATAATAATTTATTTAATTATGAAAAAACTGTTTATTTAAGGTCAATTATTGTTTAATAGGAAGCCTTATAATTTTTATTTTATTTTATGCTTTTATGCTTTTGTTTTAGATGCTCAATTTAATTTAATTTATGTAACATAATTTTTTTAATTATCAATTTAATTTTTTTTATAAAATTTTATTTAATATTTTTAATAAAAAATTCCCAAATTTTACCTACAAAATTTCATCTAAAGCCTCATTTAAAATGAATTGGTGTCACTGTACTTTGTCGTTTGGATCACCAAGGCACGATCTGGTTGTGTTTACATGGCTTCAGTGTAAGACTTAAACTCAATTGATGGGAAAGGCGGAAAGGGTATGGTGGTGATTGATATTTTTGCTTTTTTTTTTTAATTTAATTAAGAAATTATGAAATAATTTTTTAATTTAATATAATGAAAAATTTTATTATATAATAAACTTATAAATAAATAAAATTATTATTATATTTTTAATTAAAAATTATTATTTTATAAAATTTAATATTATATAAAAGATTAACTAAATATTATATTATAAACTAAACATAAAATTTAGTGTTATATTATATTATGTTAGTATTTTAACTAAAAATAGATAACTATGTCATTAATTAAAAATAAAGAAAAATATCATTTGATATATTATTATTTTTATTAGTTTTTAATTATTCATCAATAAAGTTATTATTTGATATAAAAATAATTTAATGAATTTTTAATTATTTATTAATTTTATAAATGTTAAATAATTTAAATTTTTTATTATATACAAATTTTAATCTAATATCTTTAATGGTTATTTCTTTTGTAACTATAATTCAACTCACTTCAACTATTCATTTGCATCGAAATACTTATATTCACAATTGATTTTAATATAATAAATATAGTATATAATTTTCCTGTTATTTTTAATTTTACCTGAATCAATCTTATTATCCATTTAAATAGATTCTAAATTATTTTCATTACACTAAAGATGTCAATCTTATCCAAATTCGATGAAAATTTTAATTTTTTATCCTAATAAAAATAAAATAAAATTTAAATTTTAAAAATTGATATTGAAATGTGTATGATTTTAAAGTTTCACTTACAAAATTTTATTTAATTCATTAAAGTTTTTTTATTGTACCATAATGTTGATGATTCTTGCTTATAGTCCAACTTAAAATTTAATTGGTACCATGAACACGTTAAAAATGAATGACCAAAAGAATTGGATAAGATTCCATACTAGATAAAAGATTGGCTTGAACCAAATTAAATGAAAAAAAATTTTACATATATTTAAGAATTATTATTTTATATATTGATTTGACCAACCTTCACTTGTCATAAAATTCTTTTTCTGGGAATATTCTATCCGAAATTGGCTTATTGAAAAGTCTTGAGTTGATTTCCTTATCAAATAATGAGATCAATGGTTCCATTCTACAAGAAATAGGGAGGTTGAGTTCAATTTCCTGGATCTTTTTCTCTTATAACCATCTACGTGGTTCTATTCCTGGAGGGGTTTGCAACCTTTCCAAGCTCACTGGTCTTGGCTTGTCACAGAATAATTTCTCTGTAAGTATTCCACCTAAAATCGGAAGGTTGAGTTTGCTTTCTCTACTTCTCTTTGATGCAAACAATCTCACCAGTCCAATACCTATTTCTATTGGAAGCTTTCATAATTTGTCCCAACTTGTCCTAGTTGACAATAGTCTCAATGGTGCCATACCTAGAGAAGTTGGGATGATGAAGTCACTCAATATGCTTGATCTTTCAATAAACCAACCAACTGGTCCTGTCCCAACATCTCTGGGAAACCGAAGTAACTTGGCATGGCTTTATCTGTATGGTAATAACCTCTCTGGTTCTATCCCTAATGAAATAGGATAGCTTGGATCTCTTATCACAATGCAGTTGTTAAGTAATAATCTCACTGGTGTCATCCCTGCTTCCATAGGAAACTTAACCAAATTGTCTACTCTTTACCTTTTTGAAAATAAGCTTTCCGGGTCAATACCTCAAGAGATAGGAATGCTTGTATCTCTTACAGAACTTATTTTCTTTGATAACAATTTCTCTGGTTCAATCCCTGCTTCCATAGGAAACTTGACCTGCTTATCTACTCTCTACCTTGATCAAAATATGTTTTCTGGTTCAATCCCTGCTTCAATTGGAAATATGACGAAGCTTGTGGGGTTAAGTCTTCTACATAATCTTTTATCAGGGCCTATTCCTTCGTTCAGCAATCTTACTCATTTGGAATCACTCCAAATATCGGACAACCATCTCGGTGGTCCATTACACAAGAATGTATGCCTCGGTGGACAACTCATATATCATGGGGCTATCAACAACAATTTGACGGGTCTGAACCCATCAAGTTTAAGAAACTGCAAAAGCTTTTACTGAGTTAGGCTTAAAGGAAAGCAGTTGACAGGAAATATATCAGAAGCTTTTGGTAGATATCCTAATTTGAATTATATTGCATTAAGCAACAACAAATTTTATGATGAACTTTCTTCGGGCAATGCCATAGTCTAACAAGCCTGTGAATCTCCAATAATAACATTTCTAGAAAGATACCACCTGAGCTCAAACATGCAACTCAATTACAAGAAGTCGATGTCTCTTCAAATCATCTCATGGGTGAGATTCCCAAGGAATTGGGAGCATTGACATTGATGTTCAATCTTTTGCTAAGTGGTAACCAACTTTCAGGCAAAATTCCGTCAGAGATTGGAGTTCTTTCAAACCTACGACATCTTAACTTGGCATCAAACAATTTAAGTGGATCAATTCCTAATCGACTTGGAAAGTGCTCTAAGTTATTGAACCTGAATTTGAACAAGAATAAAGTTGGAGAAGGCATTCCAATTTCAATAAGCTACATATATGGTCTTGAAAATCTAGATTTAAGTCAGAATTTACTTATTGGGGAGATACCACAACAGGTTGCAAAATTACTTTCCTTGGAAATATTGGACCTTTCTCACAATATGCTCAATGGTTCCATCCCAAATTCTTTTAATGATTTGCAAAGCTTGACTGTTGTGAATATCTCTTGCAATCAATTAGTAGGTCTTATACCCAACATTAAGGCATTTCATGAGGCTTCGTTTGATGCCTTAAGAAACAATAAGGGCCTATGTGGTAATGCCACTGGACTAATGCATTGTGTCGTCGCTGCTGCTAGCAACAACGTTGGTCATAGAAAAAGCACCAAGTTCATCATTTTCATTGTGCTTTCACTCTTTGGTCTTCTTCTTTTACTATTTATCATGGCTGGAAGTTTCTTTATTCTTTGCCAAAAGAACCGAACAAGAAAATCTGAGTCAACGGAGGCACAACTTGGAGATTTTTTCACATTGTGGGGATATAATGGAAGAATACTCTATGAGAACATTATTGAAGCCACTGAAGATTTCAGCTCCAACAATTGCATTCAGAAGGCTATGGAGCTGTTTATAAAACTGTGCTACCCATTGGCGAGGTGGTTGCAATGAAGAAACTTCACCAATCTGAAAATAACATGATTTCCAACAACTTGAAAGCCTTTGAAAGAGAGATTCATGGTTTATCAGAAATAAGGCATCGTAACATTGTGAAGCTGTATGGCTTTTGTTCACATCCTGTTTGTAGAAAGGGGAAGTTTGAAAATGGTGTTAAGGAATAAGGATGAGGCAATGGAGTTGGATTGGGAGAAGAGGTTAAATGTTGTAAAAGGAGTGGCCCATGCCTTGTCTTATATGCATCATGACCATTCACCACCTATTATTCATCGAGACATTTCCAGTAACAATGTTCTTCTGGATTTGGACTATGACACTCATGTCTCAGATTTTGGCACAGCCAGGCTTTTAAACCCTGATACTTCCAATTGGACCTCACTTGCTGGCACTTTCAGATACATAGCTCCAGGTATTTATTGATCTCTTTTTTTTCAAAAGATGCTTTAAACATGTAATCATTGAATTAAAAGTGCTAGTTTTGTGTGCAAATTGATGTGTTAAAACAAAGTTCACGTGGTATCATGATTGTAACTTTTCAAATTTTAAGTATCAATTTGACTATAATTCAAGTATCAAATGAGTAATTAATTTTTAAAGTTTAAGATTTAATTTTTCAATATTCAATATATCAAACAGATGAACTGAATGTAAAATTTTATTTGAACCGAATTTCAATTTTCAACTAATCTTCTAAACATTTGCAATTTCTTTTCAACATACATTTTATAATCTTCTCAATATTTTTATATAATAGTGTATTGGTTAGATATATTTGTTGCTTAATAGAGCACATTGATTAGATATGTTTCTTTAAGCAAAGTTCGCTTGTACAATGAAGGTAGATGAGAAATGTGATGTATATAGTTTTGGGATTCCAATAATGGAAGTTCTTATGGGAAGACATCGTGGTGATCTTATATCATGTTTATCATCATTGGCATTTGGCATCGACATCGGCTTTGGTACCTAATGGCCTACAGATTTTATTAAAGATGCGATAAACCAGCATCTCTCACCACTAGAAAACCAAGTTGTAGAGGATGTAGTATTTACAACAAAGGTAGCATTTGCATGCTTGAACGACAATCCCCAACTTCGGCCAACCATGCAATAGGTTGCTCAAGCCATTACCAGTCAATAGTTTCCATTTCCCAATCTTTTCACAATCATCAAATTAGGAGAACTTGTAGACACTCAATTTGGTCCAGGCTCGGATTGATTGGACCTAGTCTAATGGGGTCAGTCATGGGCTTAATTAATTATTTATTTATTTGTTTTTCTTCTAGATTTTTGTTCTTTTCTTCTTTCTTTTCTTTTTCAAATTGATTTTCAGTTATTATCAAAATAATTAAAAAATAAAAAAGGAGGAATGAATCTTACCATGAATGGGGTTAGATAGAGTCATAATTAGACTTAATCCTTATAGAATAAGTCTAAGGGTTAATCTGATAACCCAAAAACCCAGTTAAAAAGGGAATCTGGATCAGTCAGGGACCTTCTGATTAATCCCTATAAATAGGTCCATAGATCACACAAAAAGGAGGGATAAACAAAAAGACATGAGACAGAAGAAATCAGAAGCAGAAAATGGGGTTCTGGGTAATAGAAACAATTTTATATTTTTTAGGAATTTTTTTTCGAATTTTTTGGCAATTATTTTTTTGAAAATTTTTTGGAAAATCCAAAATCCGACCAAATTTTCAATGAATTTTTTGGCCAACTTTGAATTTTCAAGCCAAATTTTCAAGTTTTTGGCAGATTTTTCAAATTTCGGTAGAACATTCAATCGAAATCTGGGTTTTTCTAAAGAGAGGGGAGAAAAAAGAGGGGAAGAGAGAGAAAGGAAAGGAAGGCGTCTGAAGAAAATTGAAAGCTTTCGCCTTTTATACATTCAAAAAACGACGTCGTTTTGGCTTTACTAATCTCAGAGGATCCGCGTGTTTTGCCATCGAACGACCCGACTTGAGTGCCAACCTATTTTTGACTCGTGTCTGACCCGAGTGCCAGCTGACCCTTGGAGTCGAGTCAAGCCGAGCTGCGTTTTCGAGCCGTTTTTCTTCCTGGAGTTAAGCCGAATCCAAGTTGAGCCAAGCCGTTCCAAGGTTTTTTTAATATTTATTTATTTATTATTATTATTATTATTATTATTTCTAAATTAGAATTATTTGGTATTCCTTAATTTTTTTTATTTTTATTTTATTTTATTTTTCTTTGTTTCAATTATTTTCCTAAAACAAAATTCCTAAAAAATATATTTTTGAGGAAAAGTTGAAAGTATCAATTTTCCTTGAAAATAAAATTTTAAAAAAAATATTTTTGGGGGAAAGTTAAAAGTGTCAATTTCCCTTGAAAATAAAAAGGTTTAAAAAAATATATTTTTAGGGAAAAGTTGAAAGATTCAATTTTTCTTGAAAATAAAATTTTTAAATAAAAATTATCAAAAAAAGTATTTTAAGGAAAAGTTGAAAGTATCATTTTTTCTTAAAAATAAAATTTCTAAAATAAAAATCATTAAGAAAAATAATTTTTGAGGAAAAGTTAAAAGTATCAATTTTCCTTGATATTAAAATTTCAGAAAAAAATATTTTGGAGAAAAGTCAGAAGTACCAATTTTCCTTAAAAATACAAAAAAATAATATTTTAAGAAAAAATTGAAAGTATCAATTTTTCTTGTGCAAAAGCAATGAGTTTTTTTTTTTAAATGAAAAGAGAAGGATTTATATCAAAAGATAAATCATTATTCCTTTTTTATTTTTTTTCTTTTTTTTTCTTTTCTTGAAGTTTTTTTTTAATGTTAAATGATTCGACGATGGAGTCTCTGCAAGTGAAACAGTAATTTTGTTGCATACTCTTGAGGTGAGGGAATTTTCTTAATTTTCTGTCAAAAGTATTTGAGTTAATTAAGAATAATTTTTAATAATTAATTATTTGGTAAAATTTTTAAGGCTTATTGGATAACATGAAATTAAGCTAGTACCATCTTTTGATAGGCGTTGTGAGGGTGCTATAACCTTCCTCACTCGTAACCGAACTTTTAAACCATGTTCTAGTTAATAGACCCAAACCTATTTTTTAGGGACCCTTAGTCAAGCTTAGGTGTTCTTTGAAAAGATAGATTCCTTATGTGGTCAATCGCACCTAAACAAAAAAGATTGGTGACAACTCCTTAAGTCAATGTCTAGCAATAGATCTCCCAGATCTATATGTTATAATAGTTTGGCGACTCCGCTAGGGATAGCCAAGAGTCAGGCCAGCAAATAAATTCGTGTTATCCTAAAAGCCTAATAAAATTGAATTCTTTGTAAGGATTTTTTTTTCTTTTTCATTCATTTTATTTATTTACGTTGCAAACTATGTCATTCATATACATATGCATAACATGAGCTCTATACCTGAGCTCCGTCCCTCTAGGAGGGAGTAAAGTACCTATTGCTTACGTAAGGCTTTAATACCTCCACAGTGGGTAGCGAAATACTCCCATTCAAATTGAACCTTTTTCGTTTGTAGCCTGTAATGGGTGAGGATTGGGGTGCTTTACTAGTCTATAATGGATAATGATGTAAGGAGCAATTTGGAAACCTTTAGACTTTAACCTCGAACCACATATAATGAACCTTAGAAGTGCCTAACCTATAGATAGAGCCATCTTCTTCCCTTTAGAATTGACTAGAAGCATAGGATTCATTCCTCTTATTGTGTGTGACATTTTAATTAATTAATTAATTTATTTATTTATTTCTCTTTATTTGATGTACTAACCTCTTTTCTTATTCATGTTTGCATGATCCATATTCATATCATAAAGTTGCATAAAGAACATTTGCCTGAAAAATGATCTTCAACAATGAGTTTTTCATGGACTCCACAGAACGACTAGTTTGCTCTTCATTTGTATTAGCTCCTTATAAGTCACCCAATGAAGTGAAGGTCTAGTCAGAAAAGATTCAACTAAAGATAGGGGATTGTTTACCAATCAACTATTCTTCTACCTTGTTTCAAGACACATCTATCCTCCTTAAACAAAACACTCTAGAGGATCTGGTAGATATATGGAAAAAGATGAGTCCATCAAGACAAGTGAAGTTTTGCCAGAGACATGGGTATATAGCACACTTTCTTGCAGTAAATGTCAACAATCAACTAATTAGAGTTGCAGCATAATTTTGGGATCCTACATACAAGTGTTTCATCTTCAATGAAGTTGATATAATGTAAACCATCAAAGAATATTTAAATTTATTGGGTCTGCACCTCAAGGCTCTTGACAAGATATATGTCAAAAAACATAAGTCAAGATTTCGTAAGGATTTGGCCCATCTCATTGGGATAGAAAAAGAGGTTGTGGATTCTCATACAAAGACGAAACAAGAACAAATTTGCCTACCTTGGAAGTTCTTTCATGATTTCCTAAGGCAACATGCCAACGAAGAACGGGGGTTAGACATATTTGCCTTAGCCATATACGAAATAGTGATATTTCCAAAGGTTCTAGGTTATATTGAAATAGCAATGATTGACTTCTTTGAAAGTGTGATCAATGGTTGTAACCATTCAACGGTAATATTAACAGAGACTATCAGATCTTTGAATTATTGTCATTGGAATAGAGGGAGTTTTATAGGTTGCATACAATTATTGCACTTATAGATGAAAAGCCTCTTCGAATGGAGAAAAGGTGCTTTCTCGAAGCTTTATATCCACAATCAAGATCCGATCAAGGAATTCTATGAAAGTGGGTGGTCAGAAGAAAATTCTAAAATAAAGTGGGTAGCTTTCTTACAAAAACTGACAAGTGTCGAAGTAAGATGGTTGGTCCCGTGGATAAATCATGAACTTATGTTATATTAGTGTAGAGATAACACTGTGGTCCCACTTCTAGGTTTATGGGGTGCAACAAGTTATGCGCCACTTCTAGTGAGAAGGTAATTTGGGGCAAAACAGTTCATTCCTATAAGGCATAAGCTTTATCAATAAGATTTTTCTTATAGTGAGCCAAAAACTCTATGGCATTATTCAATAGGTTCTTGAACACGCTAGTGACCAAGGTGGTAAAATTCCTTCATCAATTGGCAGCCTTCAAAATCTATGCAGTCATTAATTTCATACATTTTAATTTTTATTTTGTTAATGTATTAAAAAAATTTTGAATATTATTATACTCATTTTTAAACTTTGTGTTAATTAAATGCATATTTGAATGTGAATTAAGTTTATATTAATTTCAATTTCTAAATTTAAGCTCGATCATGAAAATAATAAATATTAATAGAAATTTTTTATTTTAAAAAAATACATTTCTTAATTTCGCGGTGTTTGTATTCATATCGCTAAATAAATAATTTAGTGACATTTGTATCATAAAACGTCACTAAAAGTAGCGACATCTTTGTAGAAAATGTCGTTAAATTAGCAGTATTTTTCTTATACAAATGCCACCAAAGTAATGGCATTTTTTTTATAAAAACATCACTAAATTAGTGGCATCTCATAGATACAAATGTCGCTAAAATAGCGGTATTTTGTAGATACAAACGTCATTGTTTTTCACGATGCATGTATAGCTAGCACTCTGACTGACGTTTTTCGCAAATGCCACAAATCTTTTATTGGCGTTTATAAACGCCGCTAAATATTAAAGAAAACACCACTAAAAATCGAAACCCCTGTAATATTTGGTTTGTGTTCTTACCTTTTTTTTTTTGTCTAATTTTTTATTTAATTGAAATAGTTAAATAAAATTGAGCCTTTGAATTTTTGGGCTTTAAATGTATTCTAGGCCTTCACTATAACTTTGGGCTTTTAATACCCTATGACCTAATTTCAAATTGTCTCAAATTGAATTGGATTGGACTTTAATACATGTAAAATGAAAGAAATGATTAATCTAAAATAAGTCAACACGAATTAAATTCAATTTAAATGTTTAAGTTAGCTCAAATAAGAACGTTGACATCGAACACCTAAAATCAA